CCTCCTCTTTGCGCTGAAGTTCAGTGAGATGTGCGGCCCGTCTCTGTTCGTACGTCTCCTGAAAGCTGGCGTTTTTGGTAGAGTCGCCGCCGGCCACTGTCCCGAAGCCCATCTGCTCGAGCCGTACGCGTCGGTAGAGTTCGTAGTGTCGCGAGTGTGTCGTCTCTCGCAAGTCCTCCATATTTATGCGCAAAATCATGTCCCGGAGCCGAACGAAGTCGCAGTGGTTCTCGTTCTCCACTAAAACAAATCAATGCAAACCAAATCATGCGTTAGTATTAAATGTCTATCGGATCAGTATTGCACACATACCCTGAACTGTGCCCCACGGGTACTGTCGGGCGCGCATCTGTTTACTGCCCACCCGTACGAACTCATGGCTGGCCACGAGTGCGAACGGCAACAGAGCGTTGTTCTTGCCGTTGAGGTCGGCCACGTCGTTGTCGTCGGTGGGAAAGTGATAGATATTGATCCCATTGGTCACAATCTCGGACATGATCTTCACGCGAAGCTTATCCAACTCGGCTTTGGTTATGGTATCGGATTTGGCGATTACGGGAACTAAATTGCATTTGGCGGCCAACTCGCGCATCGTCACCAAATCGATGGCCCGCAAGCCGTGACCCACCGGTGAGATGAGATACAGACAGACGTGTACTCGCGTGTCGTTCACCGGCGACTGGTTTCTGTGTATTTTGAGCTCCTCCTGGAGGTAGCGCTCGAACTGCTGGTCGATGTACTCCACGACCGACTTATATGAATCGGCTATTGAATAGACGAGTGAACAAACAGTGAGACAATGGTTGTCATCGGCGGTAAAAACAAATCAATCGATTCATACCTTTATTTATTTGGTCGCCGAAGCCCTTACTTTCAATGAGTCCGAGTTTTAGTTTAATGTTGCGCTCCTGGAGGTCGTAGTTGTGTGCGGTCACGTCCACTGCCGACAGGTTATGGCTGCGAGTGCTTACGTCCGGGAACTTCATGTTGAACAGAGAGTCCAATAGAGTAGACTTTCCGACCCCTGTCTGACCCAAACACATGATATTGAAACCGAAGCCGTCTCTCACTATACGCGACACAAACTGCTCGGGAAGTGAGTCAATGCCGACGTAGCCGTCGGGCTTCAGCACGCGATAGCCGTTGGATCCGTTGCCGTTTTGGCCCCCATTGGCGCTGTTCTGATGGGCGCTTGTCTTGAGTGCATTTCCAGTGCCGTTCAGCGCTTGAGTGATCTTCGGCTTCGACAACGGATTCACAACGGGTTTGTTGCCAGCGATGGCCGGACCCGTGCCGTGGGATCCGATGGGATGGTTGGCCGCCGCGGGCGTCGACGAAGCGCCGGTCGGTTTGTCTTCGGATGACATGATCGATGTCTGGAAGAGATGTGTCTTCAGGAGAGGTGAGACAATTTTCTTAATGAATGGCAGACCACGTGTTAGGCGTTGATTGACTTAACAATCGGTTTAATCACTAATTGTATTGAAAATGTGTTTCACTTTTGCTTTACTATTGTTTTGCCGTTTAGTCGACACAATCACTGCTTCTGTCAGACACTGGCTGTCAATGAAATATTAATAGAGACAGCGCTTGTATAGCCCACGCCCTGCCCTTTAAATGCCGTATTTAGTGACCCGTGTTTTGGTCCTATTATGTTATGAGTATTACTATTGCATTCAATGGTGTTGTGTGTAGACATATAGTACCAAAACGTCGATGTAATCATTTATTGTTTATTTAATCAAATGATAGGTCTCTCACATAAATGGTGTCAATTATACGTATC